CCAGTAAACCTTGGTGGCCTTAACACAGACTTGAATGTCCTGCGATGATCTATTTCTGAGAAATTGCCCCAAAATAGGCTGTATGAGAAACCCATGCTACTAAGCAACCCAGCCCTAACATTGTTTAAAAGACTGTTGAGGCCTGGTGTGGTGGCTCACGCCTGTAATCCCAGCATTTTGGGAGGCTGAGGAGGGTGGATCACCTGAGGTCGGGAGTTCTAGACCAGCCTGACCAACATGGAGAAACCCTGTCTCTACTAAAAACACAAAATTAGCTGGGTGTGGTGGTGGGCACCTGTAATCCCAGCTACTCGGGAGGCTGAATCACTTAAGCCCGGGAGGTGGAGGTTTTGGTGAGCTGAAATCACACGATTGCACTTAGCCTGGGCAACAAAAGCAAAACTCCTTTACCAAAAAAAAAATTGTTCAAAGATCTTGCTTCTGGCCACTGGATCTGACATTCCTGGTTATGGGTTTCACAGTGCCATCTGACTTTATAAAAGCTTTGTATAGGCATTACTTTAATGAAAGTGGAAATTAAAATCAAATAAAGCCTTTAACTCAAGCAGCTCAAAATGAAAAACAAAACCCACACTTTATCAAGCTGGCTAGGTGCAATGGCTCATGCCTGTAATCTCAACCCTTTGGGAGGTCAGGATGGGCCATCCCTCAAGTCTGAGAGCTCAAGACCAGACTGGGTAATGTGGTGAAATCCCATTTCTACCAAAAATTGTGAAAAAATAGCTGGGCATGGTGGCATGTGCCTGTGGTACCAGTTACTCAGGAGGCTGAGGTGGAAGGATTGCTTAAGCCCAGGAGGGAGAGGCCGCAGTGAGCCGAGATTAAATCACTGCACTCCAGCCTAGGCAACAGAGCAAGACCCTGTCACAAAAAAAAATAACACAAAAGACATCAAGCTAAGATTCTGAACCTTGATAAAAGCCACAGGCGGAAACTACCATCTAAATCAAAACAGCAGAAAACCTTCCGGAGTGAAGGTGTTCACACAAAAGTTCACAACTCAACACTCAAGGCTGAACGCCGACTGCCTGATGGCCTGGCAATCACAGGGTTACACGAGGAAGGGAACTGCAAGTCTTTAGAAGACTAAAAGAAGATGACGCAGTAAAAAGGAGGTTTGTAAGGGGTTTATAGCCAAGGGACATCTCACCGATTCTCGGAAGCCATCATACTTGTAGACATGGCCATTCTTTGTAAGCAGTTTAAGTCCATGGCCCAGAGCTACACGGCGCCAGATGCCTTCTGTTAGCTCCCCAGCCTGGATGTTGTCCACTTTGCCGGTCTTGCTATTCTTGAAGATGATACCCTGGCGGCTCAACCTCAGTCGACCATCATTCTGTAAGAAAAACAGGCTCAGATGCATGGGGACAGTACAAAGCATGTCCTGGGTACAGTTCTACCCAACACACATTCCAGCTGTGAGGGCGCTGGCCAGATGACAAATGCAGCTGCCACAGCTGAGGAGGCCAAGGAGTCTAGATTCTAAACCAGGCTCTGGTACCTAGATCCCTTACAGATTCTCAGTTTCCTCATTTGTAAAACAGGAATTGGGAACTGAACAGCATATATGGTCCCTATAACTCCCGAGACCATCTCTCTATTGCCTTGTGTTGGGGAAAATACTAGGAACACATTATACTGAGTCTTCTTTTTCCAAAATAACATTCCCAAAGCAAGCTCTCGTTAACGGACAAAAACTCTACCCTCCTTCCTTCTATCTACTTGTATCAACTGTGTGAGCCGTTCTCACCATGGAGCCTTTCACCTCTTGATAGACGTCGTTGAACTCCAGTGTCTCTGCCATGTCGACCCCTGCCTGTGGTGGCCTGGGCAGAGCCCTAGGCTGCACAAGGGAAACCGAGTAAACTGGGAGCTGGGCCCCAACTCCTGAGTGGGTGTGCGGATGCTCAGCAGGTAGGGAATCTGAGTTCAAGAGGAAGACAGATAAGCATAAAAGACAACAAACACCTCGCTGTACTCGCCGATGAAGCCAGGTAGCAACCCCCATCTGCGCCTGAGATGTCTCAGGATTTCCTCTGCCTGGGAACCCATAGGCGGGCGCTGCAGTGCCCGAGGGTCCAGGCCCAGGCCCAGGTGGAGAATCGGGCCTGGAACAGCGCTGACACCCAACCCGACACCCACTCTGGCCGCTCCAGCGGGAGCCATGGCAACGAGCAGCGGAACCCCAGGGTCTGCCCGGAGCCCGCACCTGGCACGCGCCCCAACACAGCTTAGAGTGCAGGGTTTCCCTAGCACCGTTCCCACCACCCCGCGGCCCCAGGCCCACGGTTCACCCCCGCCCTACAGAATGGATTCGCCCGCTCCCCGCGGTTTCGAATGCGGAATGGTCCATGTCGAGCGTCCCGCGGGGTAGCGGGGCTCGTGCCTTCCTGAGACCGGGGGACGACCACCACCTACCTACTCAGGCTGCAACCTCGCGAGGGCCCGGGCGTGGGAGGTGGGCGCGTTGGGGGGAAGCGGGGGGCGGGGGGGCGGGGGTTGGGGGGGGACACCGGGAAAGCTTTTCCCGCGTGCGCGGCCCCGCGTCCCGCCACCGGAAGCCAAGCACATGCCACAGAGAGGACGAGCCGGCTAGAGAGACACAAGCCAGGCCCGCCTGCGAGACCGTCGCATAGAGCGTCGGCGACTCTGGAGGACCTGAGAGAAAGGTGGTTGCAGTGAAGTCTCTCTCACCCGGGTGTAATCTGCTTCGAAAATGTGTGTAGGGCTCTTTAGAAACTACGGACACTTCTTCAATGGAGACTGGATACTAAAGAAAAATTGTGTGATTTTATCGTATCAGACTTAGTACAGGGGTGGGGGTGGGGGTGTGTATTGGAAAGATGCGTGCCCCTCTGTCTGCAAAATAGTTTGTGGGTCTTGGAAAGGAGTCTATGGGACAAGAAGAAAAGTATTTAAGAGTTGTGGAAAGAAACAATCTCTCCCACTGGCTGGGAAGAAAATGCAGATGATGGTGTCATAGTAAGTGCACTGCTTTCTGGCTGAACTGTCAAGTTCACTGTCTATACCCAAAATCTTCACATCCCTAACCGCAATTTATAGGTTCCCTCAAGAGGCTGGCAAATGGCTGTATCCAGTTCAAGTCCTGGTGTCAGATTCACCTCGGAGCCGGAACTGATTTGAAACCACATCATCCTGGGGTTGCGGAAGCCAGGCCTCCTCCTATAGTCCCAGAGTGCATTTTGCAACATCGGAGAAAACCAGACCTGGAAAAGATGCTTTAGTTTTTCTACCCCAACCTTCTTTTACTGATAGGAAAACTGAGACCCAAAGGGACTTGAGTTGTCCAGGGTCTCAGTGAGTTGGCAACAAAGCCAGGACCCAGACTTCCTTACCACCAGTCCGGTTCTCTTCCGTCGTAATCACCATGACTGTATGTTCAGAATGATTGATGATGTGTCCTGTGTGAAGACATTAGTACAGAATATGTAAATTCAAGATTTCCCTGACAATCAGTACACCAGCTTGCTAACTCAATCCTGGGGTAAGAGACAACAGGAATACACCCTTCCCCACTGAACTAACAGCTTTAAGCTCTGAGTAGTGGCTATTCCATCACTATGTAGCAAGATAAATTCAACTGGGTTTAATAAATAGATATTGAGGGCTTATTACTAATTTAGCACATTTCTTGGATTTGAGGAAACTTGAACAAGGTGAAAACATACCTGGCCGGGCACAGTGGCTAACACTTCTAGTCCCAGTACTTTGGGAGCTCAAGGTGGGCAGATCACTTGTTAGGAGTTCGAGACCAGCCTGGGCAACATGGTGAAACTCCTGTCTCTACCAAAAATACAAAAATTAGCCAGGCGTAGTGGTGGGTGCCTATAATCCCAGCTACTTAGGAGGCTGAGGCACAAGATTTGCTTGAACCCAGGAGGGAGAGGTTGCAGTGAGCTGAGATTGCACCACTGCACTCCAGCCTGGGTGACAGAGTAAGACTCTGTCTCAAAAGAAAGAAAAGTAAAGTAAAGAAAAGAAAGAAAGAGAAAAAGGAAAAGAAAACAAAAGAAGGAAGGAAAGGGGGGGAGGGAGGGAGAGAGGGGGGAGGGAGGGAGGGAGGGAAAGGAAAACAGCCCAGATTGTTTTCAGGAAAACATAATCTAACAAAGATTTGGATAAATAAACTGACAGTTAAAAAAGAAATGCTAACTGCTATGCCACAGGTAGAGCTTCAGCCATTACCAACTGGAGTGAGAAATCTGTGACTCTACTCATCACACCCCAGAAGTCCCAGAAAAACTTTCAAGAGCCCCTCTCCCCTGACCCATGCTATTGGGGGCAACTCAGGAAAGGAGGGGACGGCTGCAGAACTGGGTGGAATTTGTCCGACACTCAGGAATGAAGGGGTCCTCAGCTCCGTCAGGCTATTAGGTGACTGGGGGATGGGGCATTGCAAGGGGCTTTAGAGAGAGTGTGAGCAGCTGGTGAGCCGGGATGAGGATGCTGCCGAAGAGAACGAAACAGAAACAGTAGACAGAGTGCAGATAAAACATGAGTCCCAGAGGGCTCCAGCCAGCTACATCCCAGGCAATCAGGAGCCCAGGATTGGAGACCCCACCCCTGCTGTGACATCACAGGGGAGTGGGGTGGAGACGAACAAAAAGGGGGTCCCCCGCCCTGGTCCTGGCCTCTTGGAAGCCAGAGTATCAAGAGCAGAGAGGACCTGACTAGGGTTGCCTGGATTAAAGGGACAGGCTCCCCATTCCTCCGACCCCATTAAGCTGCCCCTCCAGGTCGTGCTCTCTGTCTCCCTGTCCTGTAGAACCTCCCTCTCCTGAGGCCACCACTGGGCCCCTTCTGAGTGTCCCCTGACCTGAGCACTCTCTCAGCATGAACTGCATATCCGACTTCTTCACCTATGAGACCACCAAGTCGGTGGTTGTGAAGAGCTGGACCATCGGGATCATCAACCGAGTCGTTCAGCTTCTGATCATCTCTTACTTTGTGGGGTGAGTCTGTGACCCTTCAGGTCTCTGGCGGGGTGGGTCACCTGGTGTCCTACTTTTGCCCTCCTGCCTCAGTGCCACCCTCCAGCTTCCTGAGCTCCTTTCTTCTGTGGAGTCGGGTCCTAAAGACTGGCCTCTGCCACTCCCACCCAGGATCTGAATTCGCCCAGATGAATTCTTCTCCCAGTTCATCCTCCGGAGTTCAGAGTGGTTTCAAGACACACACTCAGAAGAGTAGGGTCCCTGTCCTGGCACTGCCCTCCACCAAGGGAGGTCTCAGGAGTGCCATCTCCACCCTCCCTGCTCTCATCTCTGCAAGCAGAGAACAGGCAGACCCCCTCCCACATCTTCCCATTCCCTTCAGCCAACTCTATTGGGTCTCAAAAAGACAAGACACCACAGGAAGGGGGAAGGGAAGGCACTGAGACAAGGGAGTGGTGGCAGGTTGATCAAGTTGGTGGCCAGGAGGGAAAGAGAAAGCTGGATCCGTTTGAGAATGAGGACTTTCCTTCTGGCGTGGATGGGCGAGATGGTGAGAGAGAGAGAAGGGCAAGGGAGAAGCCCTCTTCTCTCAGACTGGAGGACAAAGAGGAACTGCCCCTTGATGAGGAAACAAACACAGGTCCAAGGGAAGAGTGGCCAAGAAGAAAAGTAGCTTTTCTGAACATAGTTCGGCTCCCTCCCCAGGAGTCCAGGAATGCTCCCCTTCATCAAAAAGTGTTAAGTTCCCTACCTCTGCCTGACCCTGTGCCATGTAACCTACCTCTGTCTGACCCTGTGCCATGTAACCCAGCTTAGGAGTTGCTTAAGAGCCAGGAAGGTGCAGCCATCCCCCTCAGCCCCCACTGCCTGGAAGTGCACACCTACACACACACACACACAGCTGTGGAGCAGACAATGGCTGGGAAAGAATGCAGGTCCTATCCTTCTTGTGTTCATTTCCACACACTCGTGGGCACCAGGAAATACAGGCAGAAGCCTCCAAGGTTTTCTTTCCTGGTATGCGGGTCTCCAGTCTCCCCTGTTCTTTGAGACAATGGGTCTGTGCATTCCAGGCAGCAAGCCACTGACTGTCAGGAATTAGTTCAAGCAGGTCAAAGGAGAATCCTGTGTGCCTCTGGGCTGAAGCTGCCTGCAGCCTGCTTGCCTGAAAAGTTACAGTTTCTGTAAGGGTAAGGAGGGAAAGGTGGCTAGACGTGACTTTTTAGGTGATTTTTTGGCTCCGTGTGCTGGGCAGGGGCTGGCCGGCTTCAGTGGGCAGGTATTGTAAAAAGCCTGCACCATCCCGGGCTCCTTTGGGAGATTTTAGAAAAGGGATGCGAGCTTCAGAATAGGATTAAATGGCCTTGAAGTTTCCTTCCAATGTTGAGGGTTTGTAAGATAGGAGGTTTGCAAATGTTCGCTGTCTGCATCTCCAGAACTTGGCTCGCAGTTGGTTCTTAAATGTTCTGTGTTCACGTGTATATTCAATGCAGTGGTTGTTTATAGCCACAAGATGGTATGTTGGCCCAGGTGAGTGCAAAAGCTGGCTCAGCACATTCTCCATCTGGCCTGGCTCCATTGGCTCCAGGCAGAGAGATTGATGGGGGATAGAGAATGAGCTCCTAGACCAGACTACTCAGCCCCCACTGCCCTCGTCTCTCTCTCATCATGATCAGATCGAATCCTCCAGTCCTCAGGGCTGGAGCCCAGCCTGCTGGAGCGAGCCCGCGGAGCTCTTTGGCGTCTTAATTCCCAACCCCATCCATCTCCAAACCTGACAGCTCCCCACGGGACAGTGCCTTCCAGTTACATCAGCGCCCTCTGCAGCCCAGCCCCTTGACCTGAGTCCCATCTCCGTGTATATGAACCCAGGCACATTGTGATTTCATGAATCCACCGTCATTAATTTAGCAAAAACGCACCAGCATCTCTGCATGCCAGGCACTGTGGACCCAGGACGGAATGATGGGCAAAAGCAGATGGGGTCCTCACCTCGTGGGGCTTACAGTGGAAGGCAAGAGATGGACATTCATCTGATGAGCTCCACAAATGTGAAATGTCAACCGTGGCTTGCAGGTGCACAGTCATAGGAGAGCCACTTCTGTGAAGGTGTTTGGCCTGGTCAGGGAATAAGGGAAGGCTTTCTGGCGATGTGACATTTTAGCTGAGACCCGAAGATCAAGTAGGAGCAACCCAAATGAAAGAGGGAAGGAAGAGCGTTCAGGGCAGAGAAACCTCCCTCTGCAAAGGGAAGGAGCCTGGCAAACAGGGAAAAGAAAAGAAGCTCCTTGTGGCTGGAGCCAAGGGCAGAAATGAGGGTGATGTACAGTGGCTGGGAACATAAACAGGGGCCGGACCTCAGACACCCTTAGAGAGCTTTGGTTTCTACAGGAGATGAATAAACAAGCCACAGAAGCATTTTAACCCGTGTGTGTGTGTGTGTGTGTGTGTGTGTGTGTGTGTATGCACCTTTGTGTGTGTGTGCACGAGATTGAGAGAGAGAGAGACACACACACAGACACAATGAGATCTGAGTTGGGAAGAGCACCCAGGCTGATGCACCCAGAATTGGAGGGAGTAGGCGTGGGTGCAGGAAAGCCTGTTAAAAGGCAGCACAGTCATAAGGAGAGAGGTGACAGTGGCTTGGACCCAATCAAATTTGAAAGGATCTTTAAGGCTACAGTGTTAGCATTTCACTGATACTTCAATCTCTTCTCCATCATCCCAACCAGGTGGGCAACCTAAACTATGCCTAACACAAGCCCATCATTTCTCTGAGGCCCTCACAGTGACACGCCACCTGGTCGCATGTGCTCTCACCCCCACCCCATGGCCTCATCTGCCTGTCTGTGGTTGACACCACTTGGTCGCTGTTTTCCTTTACCCACTCCAGGGCACACAGAGAGGCCTGGGCTTACCTGATGCTTCTCACATCTTTTCTGGGCCCAGGTGGTAATCCCCACTCTTCTCTGTGGAGTGGGACTTCCTGAGAGCCCACCCCCTTTTTGGATCCTGTAGGGATCTGAGAAGTTGAAGGAAATCCCTGAGACCTGTGTCCCTGGAAGCAACAGCCTGTGCTTGGCCTGAGGTTGATTTCCAGGGCCTTCCTGGAGGAAGCTGCCTCCTTGCAAACTAGCGGGCCGGGGACTTCCAAGGCCTTTGAGGCTCCATTGTGTGGAAGGATCATTGGTGGCTACTGGAGCCTCTGACCCTGTCACAGCCCTGCTCTGCCTGCCCTGTCCTTCCCGCATACAAGGCCCAGTCTGAAAGTTTACCATCTGTATGGCCCCATGCTTTGGTTCATAATACTCAGCCTCATTTCAGATCTTAGATGGGAGTTCAATATATAAAGCAGATAAAAGGAAGGTGCTGCTCTTGTTTAAAGAGAAGGGTCTAGAATCCCACTTTCTCAGTTCTCTACCCCATCCTCTCGGCCCAGGGTAGCATGCTGACGCAGCTTGTTAGCACACTTAAGTGACAAGTGACACACATCTGGTAGGAAGAGCTGTTGGGCTGCCCCATCTTTTTTTTTTTTTTTGAGACAGAGTCTTGCTCTGTCCCTCAGACTGGAGTGCAGTGGCGCAATCTCAGCTCACTGCAACCTCTGCCTCCTGGGGTCAAGTGATTCTCCTGCCTCAGCCTCCCAAGTAACTGGGATTACAGGCGTGTGCAATGATGCCTGGCTAATTTTTGTATTTTTAGTAGAGACAGGGTTTCCCCATGTTGGCCAGACTGGTCTCAAACTCCTGACCTCAAGTCATCCACCTGCCTCGGCCTCCCAAAGTGCGGGGATTATAGATGTGAGCCACCGTGCCCGGCCGGATGCCCCATCTGGAGCACTCAGTCATCCTGGTCCAGACAGAGGAGTGACTCTCATTCTTGCCTGCCCTCTCGCCGCATAGGGAACATGGAGCACTTGGTCAGAAGCCTGGTTCTGCCACCAACTAACAGAGGGCCTCAGATGAGTGACTTTATGCCTCTAAGTCTCAGTCCCTGTATCTGGAAAATGGATTCAGGAATACTTCCTGCCTAGGAGTTACAGGGAAGGGAGGTAACATATGTCAAGTGCCTTGTGGAGATGGTGACTCAGTAATAGACGGCAACTGCGACTATTTCACAGGACCCCCATCACCCCTCCTCCTTTCCCTCTGCCCAGCTCACACCTTCCTAAGAGACCCCTCTCCTCCTCCCACACAGCAGCGTGCACTCTTCACACGCACTCCCCAGCCTCTTCCTTGACTCCCCTGGGGGCGGATGGGAGGGTGCTGGGGCGCGGCTCTGGCCTCCCTCCTGCACATCCCACCTGCCAAGGATCTGCCATACGCCTTCCGCTCTATAAATAATAAACCATAAATGCGAGAAGAAAATAGTCAGAGCAGCAGAGTAAATGCCAAGAATTGAAGGCTCAGGCATGCCCTATCTCCTGAGCCCTGGCCTCTAGAGACAGACTCAGCCCCTCCACTCTGGTAATGAAGCATCCCCTTTTTTCCAGCTGCTTCAGTGACATCCTCAGGCCCCCGCAGGGCCACTGAAATTCTTCCACTTGTTATTTAACTCAGAGAGAGAATTCTAATGTGGCCTCTCTGCCCCACGGGGCACAAGAAGGAGCCTTGAAGGAGGAGGTAGGAGATTGGTTGATTGCTCCTCGGAGTCCTCGGCCCTTTCCTCCTGAGACTTTCCTAAGCCAGGAGATGCTCTGGCTGGTGATGAAGCTGGAGCCCGCAGGCCAAGCACAGGGTCCAGTTCAGGGGCCCAGCATGGCCTGACCTAGAGCTGGGACATAGCCAGAGACCTTCGAGTGAAGGGGCTGTGAGTGGTCTGGTGCAGGCTGTCTGGTTAGAGCCGACATGCCGGCTGTGCAATCCTGGGCAGGTTAGCACACCCCTCTGCACCTCAGTGTCCTCATTCATGACATGACGGTAATAAGAAAGCTGTCTCAGGCAGAACGTAGTGAAAGATTCAGCCCGGCAATTGCCGCATTGGTATTACATAATAGTAATCTGAACTCGGCATCTGCAAATGTTCCTGGACTTTAAAGATGCAGGACAGGGGCCTCAGAAAACCATTTCCTTAGGTCCACACTGAGAAATGTATCTGTTCTGTGGCTAGGCACACTGGGGCTTGGTTCCAGGAGGGTGTGTTTAGACTGCAGTTTGTACTCTGTAAAGGTACAGCTGTGGCCAACAGCCATCTTCGCTGGAAGCAGAGAGCCTGGGCCCCAGACCTCCGACCCTTCACTCCACAGGGCCCCGGGCCGTGAGCTAATAATGCTCATTTCAGTTTCCTGTGACGGGGAGGCTCCCTTCTCTTCTGCTAGGATGCAATATGGCAGATGGGATTTCTACGTGAGGCATACTTCCTTGTGAAATCTGAATGAAACCCCTCCCCTTCCAAAAAAAGAAGAAAAGAAGTGCTGAGAGATAAAGCAGCACCACAAAGCCCCATAGAAGGCGGTGTTCACGAGAGCATCTTACAAGCACGCCAGTCACTCTAAGTGGTGCGCTAATCAGGATGCTGCCCGCCCGCTGTGAAGCAGCAGCGGGAAAACAGGTAATGGGTTTGAAGCCATTTGTGGGTGCTGTGACTATACCCTTTCTCTCCCACTCAAGAGATCATTCCAAATTCAAGCCAGTAATAGTACCAAAAGATTAATAACTATGCGAGGGAGTAGGTATGATCATTAGCATGACACATAGTCATTCCACAAGGTATAGGCATATGAGAACACTCACGCTGTGCCCCACGAATACATGAAATTATTACTAATCAATAATACGTAGGGCTGGGCATGGTGGATCATGCCTGTAATCCCACCACTTTGGGAGGCCAAGGCGGGCAGATCACTTGAGGCCAGGAATTTGAGACCAGCCTGACTAACATGGCAAAACCCTGTCCCTATTAAAAATACAAAAGTTAGCCGGGTGTGGTGGTGCACGCCTGTAATTCCAGCTACTCGGGAGGCTGAGGCAGGAGAATCGCTTGAGCCCGGGAGGCAGAGGTTGCAGTGAGCCGAGATCGCACCACTGCCTGGGTGACAGAGTGAGACTCTGTCTCAAATAATAATAATAAATAGTATTTATCAAAATTTTAAATTTAAATTCAAATAAAAAAAGATTCAAGCGAGCAAAGGAAGCCTCATTATGAGGATAATGCCAACCTCTCTCACTGAAAACTGAACCACTTGCAAATATCCGCCAGTGTTTGCAGTACACAGGATTGTGGTGTCCAACCTACAAGTGACTGGGACAACCCCGCCCCCACCCCGTACGTTCTGGGAGCTGCTGCTCTTTGCTTGTCCCAACAGTAGGGGACCCCAGAGGTCATTCAGTGCAACCTCCACCTGAGGGAGGGGCCTCCTCTCAGCACCCGGCAGGTGAGCATCACGCTGTCCTGGAGTCTTCCCAGACGTGTGGCACACAGATGGTGACTTCCCGCAGCAGCTGGTTCTGGGCTCGCAGTCCTCACCCACCTCCTTATAGAATCCTCAGGTCAGCCCAGCCCCTGCCTCTCCGGCTTCCCAGCCTCTGACTCCCACAGCTTTGTCTTCTCTGGGCTACACAGTCTCAACATCCTTCCATTTACCTTCAGCTGGTGTGGTTTCCCAACTTCGTGCCACCCTGGTTAGATGCAGAAAATGCCCTCACCCAGCATTTCCAAAAGCTTTCTCCTCTGTTCCATGAGAGGTCACCAGTATTTCTCCAAGACTGACTCCTGTGGTCGTCAGGGTGACAAAATGTAAGACATGCATTTGTTTGCTTACACTGTATGTTTCTCAGGGGGAACGGAGGCTGCATGGCGTTTTCTAAACGTATTTGATGAGATTTTCTCATCTGTAGAATGGGGATGGCGGGAGCATCTTCCTCCCTCCCGGTGTGCCATCAGGAAAAATGCAACCTTGCTGAAGGCCAAGATGTGGTATGAAGTGAGGCTGAGCGGGGCTGGAGCCTTCAGGGCCGTGATTGGCGATTTCAAATGCAAAGTCAGGCAGCGTGTAGGAAAGCAGCGGCACGAGATGCCAGCAAGTATCCGCAGGCCCTTCTGGGCCGAAGGCCGGGAAAGTCTGAGGGGGAAGGTAGGGATGGAGGCAGGGAAAAGCCTCATCCACTTGGCCCGGTTCATGGCTTAAGGCTGCTGGGAGGAGCCAGTACAGGTAAATGACCACTGGGTGGCAGCACAATCCAAGGAATAAGATCAGAAGCTCCCCGCCCCCCCCCCGCCCACTTCCCGCTGCCCCAGCCCCGCCCCCCCGACCTTCAACCCAACTCCTTTACCTGCCAAGTAAAAGCTCAGCCGCGGCTCCCCTTCCTCTTCCGTCCTCATCTGACACTTGGGCAGATGGATTCTGCCAAGCACCCAGCTCCCAAGCACCTTCATTGATTTGTCTACGGAACTACTTTGTGTTGGGCACTTAGGGAGGGTACAGAGGCCCGGGAACCTCTGTTCCTTCTGTCTCCTGGGTTCCTGCCAGAGAAGTGGCCCCCATCAGCAGCACGGAATGACTCTGAGCCATGCATTCTCAATGGGGCCATATGGCCCCCAAAGAGGTGAAAATTGGTTCTCACTCTTTTTATGCATAAAACAAATTTGCATACAGTACATAAGCAGATATCTGTGATATCAAAGTTTCATGGAGAAGGGGACCACTGGGGGGCGGGAAACATCCAGAAAGGCACCTGAGGGGTGGTAATGGAACAAAAGGTGGAGAAACGCTATTTTAAGCCAACCGAGGGCTCACCCTAGGTCTCACGCCTCTAGGAGGAACCACCTGCACACCCTGCCAGGCGTGTCCAAGTGTTGGCAGGAAGGTGACCTCTCCCAGCTTGTCTGCTGGGTCTATGGACTTCTCTTTCTCTTCCTTTATGCACTCCTGCCCCAGGTGGGTTTTCTTGCACGAGAAGGCATACCAGGTTCGGGACACAGCCATCGAGTCCTCAGTGGTGACCAAGGTAAAGGGCTTCGGACTCTACGCCAACAGAGTCATGGACGTGTCTGATTATGTGACGCCACCCCAGGTATGGTCCCCCTACCCAGAGAGGCAGGTGGACGCCCCGACGCTGGGCAGGTTGGAGGGGAGAAAGCAGGTCAAAAAGGGTGCCCGTGGGCTTCCCAAGCCGGAATCCACGTTGTCAGTGATCCAGAGGACCTCTCCCCTAGCAGCTGAGAGCTGTGGGAGCTTGGACCTGCCATGCTAGGCATGAGGAAAGCTGGGCTCCTCTCGGGCTCTGCCACAGCTTGTAGTGCAATCAAGGACAACACACACGGGGGAGGGGCCGTGTGGGTGGCTGCAAAGAGCCAGCTCTGCCCCTTACCGGCCCTGTGTCCTTGGCCAAGTCACTAAACTCGAGGCTCGGATTCCTCATCTGTAGAGTGGGGACAGTAAACTATCCTGTCTCACAGACTGGGGCTGTGGCATGTTTTTCTCTCCCTTCCTCTCTTACCAAGGGCACCTCGGTCTTTGTCATCATCACCAAGATGATCGTTACTGAAAACCAGATGCAAGGATTCTGCCCAGAGGTGAGGGGAGGAGAGAGGTTGGAGGAAGCCGGTCAAGCCTGAAAATATTGGTGGGAGTGGGCGTCGTGGCAGGGAGGGGTGGGTATAAGCAGAGGCCCCAAGTCTGGCCTTGCAGCTGGGACCTGGGACCTCCACCCTTCTGAGGCTGTTGGTTGTGGAGAGGTCATGGGAGCTGAGGGGCTCACCAGGCCAGGACAGGGTCCTTCACCAACCTGTGACCTGTCTCCCCACAGAGTGAGGAGAAATACCGTTGTGTATCAGACAGCCAGTGCGGGCCTGAGCGCTTCCCAGGCGGGGGTGAGTGCAGCCTCTTCCCCACCCTCACAATCCCAAGTGTTAGTGAGACTCCTGGGAGTCTGTCCTGGGGGCCCGTCATTGGAGAGGGAGTGGGAAACAGCCTGTTCCTTGTCATTCTGCTGGCATTTACACATAATCTCTGGGTGCCACACCCAGCGGGTGCTACAAGGGTGACATGGCCCCTGCCCCCAGAGGAGTGCCCAGTCTAGGATGGTGGAGACAGGGATGCTTGAAGTGGCATGTGCTATCCAGGAGCACAAAAGACTCTGGAGCCTGGGAGAGGAAGAGATTTCTTCTGGGTGGGTGGCGCCAAAAGGCTTCCTTGAGGTGGTGACATTTGGGACAGTCCCTGAAGATGAATAGGATTTGGCAGGACAGAGGGGGCTTCAAAAGCGCATTCAAGGTGGAAGGAACAGCTGCAGCACAGGCTCAGAGGCAAGAAAAAGGGAGCAAGAAGAATACGGGTCCTCAGGGCTGCTGGGGCTCGGGGCATGTGAAACGAAGGCTGTCGCCGCCCCGTTGGCTGGGCCTGGGGCTCAGGAGAAGAAGCAGGAGAGAAGTCAGCTCCTGTTCCCCTGCCTGTTCTTTTCCTCCACTTCCCAGGGTCCCTGATGGGGGGAAGGAAGGGAGGGGGAAGAAGGGAAGGGAGAGGGGCAAAGGGCAGGCAGCCACCCAGCAGCTGTGGCTCCCACTCTAGGGATTCTCACTGGCCGCTGCGTGAACTACAGCTCTGTGCGCAGGACCTGTGAGATCCAGGGCTGGTGCCCCGCGGAGGTGGACACAGTAGAAACGTAAGAGGGGAGCAGAGAGGCCCCACCTAGCTCCCCTGGGCCCGTGTGGGAGCCATGCATCTCTGAGCTTCAGGCGGGTCTGTGGCTCTCCCCAGTGCTGTCCCTTCCTGGTGTGGGGGGTGACCTCAGGCCCAGGGTATCATCTTCTCTTCCCAGCCCATCCCACCTGCTTCCTCCTTCTCCCACTCTGACCCTCAGGCCCAGACAGCCCCTTCCTGTTGCCTGCTCTGAAAGTGCCCTTTATCTATAAGAGATTTCCCTTTGAAGGCGTCCACCAGGAAAGATTGCCCAGGAGTGGAAGCCTTCATTTCCCTTCTTCCTGGGAAGCTAAGGCCTCCTGTTCTCACCCACAGGCCCATCATGATGGAAGCTGAGAACTTCACTATTTTCATCAAGAACAGCATCCGTTTCCCCCTCTTCAACTTTGAGAAGTGAGTCCTCACTTCTTCCCTAAAGCCAAGATGCAGACTCGCCCCCCCCGCCCCCCATCCCGCCCTCGTCCCCCTGTTTTCAGGGAAGTGGAGATGCCGCCTTCCTCAGTTCCCACATTCACCCCACTGACCCATCTCCCTGGGCCTTCTATTCCCAATCTCCCAGCGGGCCTTGGCCACTGAACATCAGGTAAACTTTGGGGTCAGTTTCTCTGCCAGCCTCCCTGCCTTAGGCTTCAGATCCAAATGGGAGTTTTGCTTGGGGCAGGAGAGGGATAACTTAAGCCCAGTCCTGGGTCGAGGATGCCTTCAACAGTTGAAACCCTTTCAGTCTTGTCCCATTTCTTTTTCCCCAATCCAGCCCATGTGTGGAAATCCCTTTTCTCTTAGTTCAGTCCCGCTTCGTTCACTCCTTCATTCCACAGCTACTCGGTGGGCATTGGCCATGTGCAGAGGGCAGTGCCAGGCATAGCAATGCACTGGGCCAGGCATGGTGGCTCACGCCTGTAATCCTAGCACTTTGGGACGCCGACGCGGGTGGATCATGAGGTCAGGAGTTTGAAACCAGCCTGGCCAACATGGTGAAACCCCGTCTCTACTAAAAACACACACACACACACACACAAAATAGCTGGGTGTGGTGGCGCATGCCTATAATCCCAACTACTTGGGGGACTGAGGCAGAAGAATTGCTTGAACCTGGGAGGCAGAGGTTGCAGTAAGTGGAGATCCAGCCGCTGCCCTTCAGTGGATGACAGAGAGAGACCTCTTCTCAAAAAAAAATTTTAAAACGCACGGAGCAGCCAAGAGTGATCCCTCCCCTCCCTAACTCCCAGCCTGGCAGCTGGGGGAGATTAGTCACCCGCATACATCACCCTGATACAGAGAAGGGGGCGATGGGGCACCAGAAAGATGCAGGGAAATGGGAAGAGTGGAGGGAGATGGCGAAGTCCAGATGAGGGCTGACGATTCAGATCCCCCCTAGGCTTGGAGGGCCCCGAGGCTCCGAGGCTCTGGAAAGCTGGGGGAGTTTGCACATGAGGATCTTCCCAGGAACCCTGGGCCAGCCTCTCTCTCTGTTCCTCCCCAGGGGAAACCTCCTTCCCAACCTGACAGCCAGGGAGATGAAGACCTGCCGCTTCCACCCAGACAAGGCCCCTTTCTGCCCCATCTTGCGGGTAGGGGACGTGGTCAAGTTTGCGGGGCAGGATTTTGCCAAACTGGCGCGCACGGTGAGGAACTAGCCGTTCTTCCGCGACCCCAGGTTCCCCAAGTCCAACCCTTTCCCAGATTTCAGGGCCCTCCGGCCAGCCCTGGCCCGGAGCCGCCGCGAGACAGCGCCACCTGGTGGAAGCATCGCAGTACTGCCACTGGCTTCGTGTCCGAATCCTTTCTGCTCTCCCCCGCCCCCGCCGAGCCCACCCTCCTCAGGCCCCAGTTTCCCACTCCCATCTTCACACTTCACCTCGGGGAGAGGCCTTAGATCTGTGGCAAGGCCCATACGATGGGAAAGCAGACCTGTGGCCACTGACTCCTGTGCTGTAGGGACTGAAGATCCCAAAAGTGGGACTCAGAGGCTCCAGTGTTGGCACCCGAGCCAGCGCCTCTACCTAGCAGCGTGTGACGCGTCATTTTCCGCTCTCCCTGCCTCCTCCACCCACCTGGAGGATGGGAGGAAATCATTTGTCAGGACCTCCGCCCCACCCCCACCCTGGCCCAGCGCAGGGGGTCAGAGGGCGAGGGGGAAAGCTCACACCGGCCCCTTTCTTCAGGGGGGAGTTCTGGGCATTAAGATCGGCTGGGTGTGCGACTTGGATAAGGCCTGGGACCAGTGCATCCCCAAATACTCCTTCACCCGACTGGACAGCGTTTCTGAGAAGAGCAGCGTGTCCCCAGGATACAACTTCAGGTAATCCCCCATCTCCTGGGACACAGGAGAAGAAGGTGCGCGCTGTTCTAAAGAACCTTATTTCAAGCAGCAGTGTTTCTCAGGGAGACAGGATCTATCTATCTATCTATCTATCTATCTATCTATCTATCTATCTATCTATATTTATGAGATGGAGTCTCGCTCTGTTGCCCAGGCTGGAGTGCAGTGGCATGATCTTGGCTCACTGCAACCTCTGCCTCCCAGGTTCAAGCGATTCTCCTGCCTCAGCCTCCCAAGTAGCTGGGACTACAGGCACCCACCACCTCACCCAGCTAATTTTTTATATTTTTAATAGAGATGGGGTTTCACTGTGTTGGCCAGGATGGTCTTGATCTCTTGACCTCATGATCCTCCCACCTCAACCTCTCAAAGTGCTGGGATTATAGGTGTGAACAATCGTGCCCAGCCACGAAGGACTTTCTCACAGCCATCGGGATATAGCTGGGTGTCCTGGGGGACAGTATCTCCCCACCACTAGAGGGGACCACGCCAAGGATTCCTGCTGCAGATCAGCAGTTAGAAGAGAGAGCCAAGGTGTCTTGAAATGCTGGGGTTCTGTGATTCTTTGCCTGCTCCTTTCTCTGGCGTGAACTGTGACATGCCTACGTGACTCCCAGATAGGCCCATTCCCTGCCCTGTGCCTGCATTTTCTAAGGTTTCTCACTCTACAAAATAAGGGTAATAACTGGTATCATTTTACATTTTACAACCTGGCAATTTTGCGTGTCTGTCCACAAACACGTGTCGCCAATAGCAATTACAATTGTCATTGGTTCTTCCTCAGTGCCTCTCCAAGCCAGAACTCAGACCCGTCTTTAGATATCATCCCCGTGGCGCTGAGACATCAGGGGTCTTTTCAGGTTTTGTTTTGTTTTGTTTTGTTTTCCATTTTGAAGAAAGGGAAAGAGAGGAATCAGAGGACAAACTACTTGGAAGCAACTGAAAGCCTTTGACCTTCTCCCACCCCAGTTTCCCCATCTATGAAATGATGGCAGTATCACTGTGATCTTGAGGATCCAGCTAACCAATGTGTGAAAAGCTTCAGTTCTTGTATGACCCTTTCTCTGTATCATTCATTGATTCATCCATTACACGTGGGCCAGTTGTCTACTACATGCTAAGGCCAGCAGTTCCCAAAGTGTAGGCTACAGGGTCAGCACTACTTTTTCAAAGTTGTATTTTCTCTTTAATTGATAAGTAGTAGATGTATATGTATATGGAATAAAATGTGATGTTCTGGTGCATGTGCGCATTGCAGATTTCCCCCAGGTTTTGAAGATCCTGAAGTTTCTGGCAGGGCTGTTTAAGTACACAGCATTACATACTCAACAGCTTAACAAACTAAACAGGCAGTGGTGAGGGAAAACAAACACATATAAAAGAATATATTTCAGTTATATTTGAATATAAGAATGTATATCTGAATATATTCAAATAATGGTTACTCAAATATCTTTGGTTGAGGTGATCTTCTCCGATACAATGGCATACATAAGCCAAAAATAATCATTTCACCTTTTAAAAATGTTAGTTTCTAACTTAAAAAAATAATCACCCACCCCATTAAGCTTTATATTTAATACTTTAAAATATACATGTATATTCTCTGGAAAGAAGGATCTGTAAAAATTGAAAGTACTTTCATAATCAACTTCAAACTTAAAAAAAAACCATAGGAAACAACACATATTTTAAAGTAGGTTAAAAATACTGTTCGGCTTGCTGGCAGAAATTGGCATCTTTATTCAGCTGGTATCTCACACTGAGATCAATACAAAGGATATTTGTATGGAGGCTTAAAATAGTAACATAATTAATAAAATTCTCAGGATCTAAAATGCAAGTTTTCATCATCCTAACTTCCCTCTGGCCATTGGGAATTCTTTAATCCTCCAAACAACTCATTTGGCAGGAAAGCTCGTGAAGAATGTGAATGTTATAAAGCCCCCCAACTACTGACATCATACGGTTTTAGAACGGGATCTGTCATCTAAAGAAGAATTGGGCTGGAGTTCTTTATCTCCAGTTTATGGCACCGTGGCTGCCTTCCCACCCTCCCCACCTGAGCACAGAAGGATGTGAGATAGACTTGGTCCTAAATAAGCTTGGACTGTATTTGGGGAGGCAGAGCAGAGTATCTCCAAGGACCCTGCCTGCATAATTCCCAGAGGCCTAAGGGAAACCATCCCGTCTTAGGATCCCAGATAATTAACTTCCCCCAACAAAACCCCCCAGGCCAGAGAAGAAGGAGGCAAAGCTGCTTAGTTTGACCTTTGTGTTTTAAAAGTTACCAGAGGGCCCACGTAAAACCCTGACATTGGGAGATAGCTGGTGTCCGAGGCAAACAGAGGGCTCTGCCCAAGCCTCCTCAGTCCCTTCATCTGGGTGCCCACCCACCGTCCTCAAGTGCCCCTCACACTACTAGCACCCAAGGCTAAGCTAAGGGTCCATGTGTGGGAGGCTGCAAAGCCACCTTTCTGAATCCTCAAATAAGAGAGAAAGGGTCACACAGACTGCACACAGTTCAGTGCAGGCCACAGTGCAGTTTCTATGATATGGCAAAATTGATGCTGTCCTTTAGAATCTCACCAAGCTAGTTATCTGTAGAAACCACACTAGTCACCCTGTGTGTAAACCACTGTGTGTGCTTCGGCTCAGCGTTCCTTGCCTGCCTTACACAGTAGATGCTACAATACCAGCCCCCAACTTTACAGAGGAGAAGATGGAGTCTCACTGTTCAGTAAGGTTCTCAAAGTCACAAAGCAAGCAGGAGGGGGAGCCTGGATTCAAAACATATTTTCTTGGAGGCTCTCCACCCCAGCCAGGAAGACTAGGGACATTCGTACTTGTTAATCCTCAGAAAAAAGCATGACACTTTCAGCCCTGCTTAAAAACAACAAATCTAAGTTACAGCGAGGCTTAAAAACCAGCAGATGCAGGCGGCACAAGGCAGAGCCCGGCCTTTTGTCTCCCCAGCAAATTCATGTGCCGCTCCCTCCAACAGAGGCAGATTTTTCAGCATCCCTCCTGTTGCCTTTTGCTCTGGAGGGAAGGGAATTATTCAGCCAAGATTCGGCCTTGTTTTAATCTGCTAACTAAGACATCCAGAGGCAGCTAGAGATTCACATTTCCATCACTAATTACATTCGCAGCTCCCTTCCAAATGTCACTCCCCCCACCCCTGCTTTTTGTAGCTCTTTGCCTGCAGAATCAGAGATTTTTAGAATTTATAGCTGTTGAAGTCCCCTTGCAGTCACCCAGAGTAAGGCGGTCATTATCCCAGATGACAAAGCGGAAGTTCCAAAGGGGGCATGTTAGAGTAGCCTCGGAGGTCACTGGACCGCAACTCCTAATTTGACCCTTGTGATTGAAAAGAGTTGATAGGGGGCCCAAGTAATCACCCTGATATTGGTGGATATCTGATGTCCCTGGCAAGCCAAGTGGCCTGTCCGTAATCTGACAGCTCTGAGCCAAAATGTGTCTCCCTTCAACTCCTCCCCAATGTACTCGGTGCCATCATGCAAATTAATCTTTATTTGTGTGATTCCCCTAGCGGTTTCTGTTCTTCCCGTACCTGAAATTTAGAGGAGAGATTTTATTTTTACGCCTTGGTCTGTTCTGCGTGGCTAAAGACTCTGTGGGCCGCTTTAACTTAGTATTTTTGTGACGCTTCTTTCCAAGCACATTGAGAGTGCATTTGGTGGGGTCATCTGGATTTCTAGCAGACAAAGTGCAGCAATGTCTAAAAATAAGAACCGTGGAAAGTCACCAGTTCAGTGGTGCGCAAGTGAAAGGCGCCCTCCGCAGAGCCCTGCAGCTCTTCAGGAGGCTCCCTCTCTGTTGGCAAGGTTCCTGAGGCCCAGGTAGACCCTCAAGTCACAGGAGCAGTATTTTAACCAGAGTACTATATTCCCCAAAGTGCTGGGAGCAGGTGAGGTGCGTGTGTGAGTGTGTGTGCACATGTGAGTTTGTGAGAGTGGGTGTACTTGTTAGTGGGTGAATGTGTGAGGCTGAGAGTGTGTCAGTGTGTGTGTGTGCGTGCGTGAGTGTATAGGCATTGATGGTGCAATGACAGATTAAAAATACTGTATCCGTCAGGGTCCCCGCAGGAAACAGATGGCACATTCTAACTGGGTAATCTGAGGAGAGTTTAATAAAGGGACTGTTTCAAAGGTGTGGGCAGGGTGTACAGAAACCACACAGGATAGTGCAGTGCCAGGGCCAGAAACGGGACACTGTTGCCACCCAGGTCTGAAGAGGCGAGGAGAGGAAGCAGTGATGGGAACATGGAGACAGACAGAGCTGTGAGCAGAGGACAGCCTGACATGTGGCTGTGACTTGGGAGAGCCCCACCGGAAGCCAGAGCTAAGGCAAAGCAGCCCACTGAGGCAGCCCAGGGCAGGGTGAGGGCGGGAGGGTCGTGGACTGGAGGGCCACCTGTGGAGATGTCCAGGACGAGTCCTACCAACTTTCATCTGTGAAATCACCGCCCTTCCTTAACTTTCAGAGGTCTCTGTGTCCCCGAGGAAAGAAGGGACCATTGCCCAAGGAAGATGCACGTATTCATAGACATGAGCACATTTGCAGGCAATCTCTCTTCTTAAAGGATATTTCCTTTCTCTCTCTTTTTTTTTTTTTTTTTGTTCTTTTGAGACAGAGTCTTGCTCTATTGCCCAGGCTGGAGTGCAGTATCACAATCTTGGCTCACTGCAACCTCCCCCTCCCAGGTTGGAGTAATTCCTCTGCCTCACCTTCCCAAGTAGCTGAGATTACAGTCACCCACCACCACGCCCAGCTAATTTTTGTATTTTTAGTAGAGACAGCGTTTCACCATGTTGACCAGGCTGATCTCGAACTCCTGACCTCAAGTAATCCACTCACGTTGGCCTCCAAAGTGCTGGGATTACAGGCGTGAGTTACTGTGCCCGGCTAGGTCATTTTATTTCTACAAATAAGATATAAATACATTCTCAGAGGAA